ATAACAGTTTTTTTTATGTCTCAAATAACAGGTTAACATTTGACATTGTGTCTCTAATTGACATACCATTTTGAATCTGAACTACTTTTTTTTTATCTTTAAAAGTATTCACCAAATCACTGTAAAATGCTCAACCGATTAACCAAGGGAAATATTACATCAGCATCTACACGGAATGACTGGCTGATTATGTTTGTCTAATGTCCCTGGAAAATATTTCATACATATTCAGGACAATCGAAAACAAAAATTAAGATAGTTTCTGAAAAATCGGTCGAACGGAATGAATTTTTTTTTCTTCGTAACGGACCTCATGTGGACCCCCTATAGTATTGTTACAAGGGTTTACTTATCTAACATGCAGAGAAATTGACAACCTCTCTACAGAGGTATTGTATCTAACGTCTTGGATGTGGCTGCGTATTTCATATCCAGAAATCAACGCCACTTTGCTTATTTGAATATTATACTAAAAAAATCGGATCAGGGTCACGGAAATTATATTGAAATGATAGGGAATTTTAAAAAAATGTCTGTTTTAACTTTGATTTAAGTGATAGACAGGTTGCCGGGGCAGAAAATAAATATACACAACAATATACACCATTTAAACGAAATATAATGACTGTCGTTGCAAAAATCAAGGTTCCTGAGCTATTTTAAAATTCGAAGCGAGAGGCTTTTAACATTGCAGTATAAAATACAGGCTAAAATGGCTGAAACGTCAAATTTGGAAACTTCGTGTTGAAAATTGGCTAACAAGGTCATTAGAAATACAGGTTGCCGGGGTGAAACTTGAAACTTGAATGTTCAAAGAATAAGCAAGTCCAAACCTTGTATGTGTAGTCGTTGAACTCTAGGTTCCCACGTAAAGTTAAAATGCCTCTATTTCAGGAAGAATAAACTCACGAAAACACGAAAAATTCACTATATTCGCGTTCATTGTTTTGATTTTGACCGCCTGACAACTTTACGGAAATATCACAGTGATTATAAACAAGGACTCTGTGACGGGCAACTTATAATATCCGTGTTTTAAAGATTTAAATGATATCAAGCCAGTCCAGTTCAAACTATTATCACGTGGTACAATTCTCATTTACATTTTATGAATATTAATTAGCAAAAGTACTACTAATTTCTGGCTATGTATACATTCCACACTCACACGCTATGACTGGGATCAATATCTATATCTTAGTGAACCCTCGGTAGGGTATTCATACATGACAAACTCGACAAAAGTTTGTTCAAAGGGAAAATAGTAGAATTTTGAGTTAAAAATATGGTATAAATTTCCATAAATGTTTTCCAATGAGGTCCAATTTTATATGTTTTTTAATCTTTACCAAAATTCAAGGTATCACAGCTTCATGTGTTCTTTAAGATTTTATCTCATTTCTTAAACAAACGAAAACAAACGAACAAATAATTTATGCCTGAAGATATCTCAAAACTGCATTATTTGGCAAATTTTGAGTACATGAATTTATTATAAAATGTATAAAAAAGATACTGCTAACCAAATCTAAAGTTCTATTGGAGCGTTAGTTAAATAATATCTTTCAGATACAAACTAGTTCATTCTGAATAAAGATATTCTTCGGTGGATAATACGAACATATGTGAGATTTGCAAAATTAGCATGTAACTGTCTTAATTATATTTATACTCTTTAATATTCAAATTGCAGTAGCTTTCTCAATTATTCTATGAGTGAAACAAATACTTTGGAAATCAACCCTATCTCCTTGAAATTAAAACCTAAACAATCTTCATTTTGGAAGGATGCTCGAAACTGATGCTTCATTACTGACAAAACTGTAATAATATTGTCCTCCAAAAATCATAAAATGCATTTGTACTTTGCCACACAGTTTGCATTAAACATCACTACATAACTTTTTGATAATTATGCTTTATAGCCACACTTGATACGATTGCACTAACACTTATACATTTCAGTTTGTTCTGGTCAATCTTGTTTACGCATTATATCATTGTTGCCGTTTCTATGTTGTAACATTACCAGAGGATTGTCCTTTGTGTTTAGAATAAATATTATCAATGTGCCTTTTGATGTTAAGTGGTTTTAGTGTATTTACTTTTTTATGACGTTATGAATATGGTTTCTGATTGCTTTCATTGTCAGACGTTGTTAATATTTAATCGATTATGATTTTGTTATATAAAGCAAACATTTTATGACAAAAGTAATTAAGTTATATGATCATGTATAGGTCATTAATCAGGACATCGTGATTTATAAATTGAAAAGCTGATTATTACCTTAGCATTTTGAAGGTCATTGCTTGCAAAGCTGGTCACATGTTCGTGGTTTTAATTTGTTGTTGGTTGATATATAAGAATGCACATATTTACAGCTATCAGATTTAAATTTCCATTACTTTTTATTTTATCATATATACTGTTTTACGTCGTTAATGGACAGACCTCTACAAATATCAAGTAGTTATATACCGTTATTTTTACAAATCACCAAAAGTCAGTTATTCCCAATTCTGATTTTTCGCAGCCTTTAGAAATAACGGTGAAGCTATTTTTGCTAACAAATACACAATTTGATGAAATGGACGAAACATTGGACACTGGAGTTGCAATTCGGACTACCTGGAATGATGATGGAATTTCATGGAATCCGTCTTCCTATAGTAATGCAGAATCTATTGTTGTGCCTCACACAGATAGTTGGACACCGAAATTGGTACTATTAAATTCCGTTGAATCATATGAACAATTAGGAGGAGATAACGATCTCCTTGGAACAGTTAGTTACAATGGTTCTTCAACTATAATCGTAGGCGATGTTTTATCGTCAAAATGTACACCAAATATATACAAGTTCCCATTTGATTCTCAAACTTGTTAGCTGGTATTTGTTGTATGGGGATCAACAATAAACGACATACATTTGAAAGCAGATCTTGACCCCGTTGATATTAATTTCTTCAAACCAAACTCTGACTAGATACATACATGATGGTTATATCATATTGTATCATAACCTTTATCAACTGTTTATATTTCATCATTGTATCGGTTTAATTATTTGATTTTTAAAAAAATTAATGTTGAAAATTGGAATGGTTAGTTGAATAATAAATGGTGGAACAATTGTTTTTAGTGGAGTTTGCTCATTATTGAAGCCCTTACGCTGACATATACTAGTAATTAAAAGTTGTTTACATTCTCGTCCTTTGGCTTCTGGTGGATAGTTACGGCTTATTGTCCATCATACCACATCTCCTTATTTTTATATTCCGTAGCAGCACATAAACTGGTTATTTATCAAAGGCATAGATAACAATGATCAAAGATATGAGGCTAAGTGTTTGTGACGCCAGATACGCATTTCGGAATCACTGACACTCGAAACGAAGAATTTTAAGGCCAAAATAAATACGAAATACGAAGAATGATATCGGATATGTTCCTTATGTCGTAACTACAATACCCTTCCCTTTTCACGAATGTGACTTACCGAATTAGACTATTTACCGGATTTGTAATAACATAAGCAACTCGACGGGTGCCACATGTGGAGCAGGATCTGCTTACCCTTCCGGAGCACCTGAGATCACTCCCAGTTTTTGGTGGGGTTCGTGTTGCTTAGTCTTTAGTTTTCTATGTTGTGTCATCTGTACTATTATTTGTCTGATTGTCTTTTTATTTTTGGCCATGACGTTGTCAGTTTGTTTTCGATCTATGAGTTTGACTGTCCCTCTGGTATCTTTCGTCCCTCTTTCAGATCATTGAACACCAAAAAGCCGAAAGGGGATGCCAAATACAGCTAGTGCAATAACGTTTTTGTCTACTGATAGTTAGATTGAATGCCTGTTCTTTTTATTTTTGCAAATACTTGGATAGGATAATGCACTTAAAGTAAAAGTTCATCAATATAGGCCAGGTGACATGATTCACTTTCTTTTATATTTGCCTACGATAAACTTAATGCTCGTCGGTGGTAGGATTCAAATATTTTCTTCTTATCTCTAACTTACCTAAACGCCTGAGTGAGATAATTAACACCAAGCGCCTACAGCGACTTGCCAAAGTCGAAGTCAGCTATCAAGTATGGGTATACTATTAGTATGCATTATGGTTGGTATTGCTAAACTCCCTCTGGTTAATATCTTGTTTATTGGTTGAGAAAAATGAAAGACAAATTGTATTGGTTTAAATGCCTGGTAGTGATGTGCACATGAGGTATAAAGCAATATATGCCAGTAAGGGAATTTCTGTTCTCTGCACAATTTCTCATGGGGAAAGTTTGTCAAGTAGTAGTTGGATTGAACGTTTGTTTCCTTGTTCCAATAATTGAGCAACTGCGTTAATGGTATAGTACATTTGAAATGTTCAACAACAAACCAAATGTCAAGCTTGACATTACAGGCAAGTTGACACGATTCATTATTTCCCGATTTCCCTTCGACTAATGGTAAGATTAAAAAAATTTCCAAAATCTTGAAATACGCATCTGAACTCCTTTATGGAATAATGCAATTCATTCCTACAACGTATTGTCAAGGTCTACAATTTAATTTACCTGTCAATTATTATGGGCTTATGCATCGTTTTATGCCCCGTCTTACGAAATTGGGAGTCAATATGTTTTTGGTCCAACTGTCCGTCCGTCCGTACGTCCATTTGCCTGTCTCATTTCAGGTTTAAGTTTTTGGTTAAGAAAGTTGATTATGAATTCGTCGTCACATTAACTTGACACTAAGTACACATGTCCAATATAGAGTGAATTCTTACGATTATATTTCAAATTACGATTTTGTCCAGATTTTACGGTTCACTCAACAAAGACCTTAGTATGATCTCAAATTAAATTTGTTGGTCCAGGTAGTTTACATCGAAGTACACATGCTCACTATGGTGTTCATATTTAGTAGCTTAAGTCTAGCAGTTTCTTGATTGACGCTATCAAAATAATTCAATACGTGCCGATGATTTAAACAAATATAAGGCTAACGTTATGTGGATGACTAATCTTTATTGTACAGTTATACTAAATTCCTCTTTCGACGTCTTCCAACTGAAAAATAGAACATTTTGAAAGTTATATAAACAAATATTGTTTTGGTTATCAAATTCATTCTATTGACAATGTGTTTCAAATAGTTTCGCATCTTTGAGCACATCAAACGATAAATAAATTATCAAAACAAATTCAATTTTCATGTGCAATAGATATCATTCTACAGCTTTCCTTTCACTGTTTTGATGTACTTGAACAGGTTTTCTTCAATTTCCAACATTAGGTTCCGAGTATTATTGACGAGAGACGAATGTGCCAATTGATATTTATATAGACGGAGCATCATATATATATATATATATACAAGTCTAAATTGAAAACAACGTTCAAACCTATGATTGCGTTGGATAAAAACCGCAATTTTTATACGTGTGCATGCAAAACAAATTTCTTGGTAGAGTGGTCTAAATACAGCACAAACAACATTTTCCAAAAGACCAAAAAAGTGAAAAAGTATAATTTAACAAAAAGCATTTGACTAGCAGGTCGAACAACGGATGTTCTTAAACCCTGCTGACTGCCATGGCGATTGCCAAATAAACAGATCACCAGATGTAAAAATGGATCTTAATTTATTAATAATATACCAAACAGAAAACAATAAACTTGCGGAAAAGATGGTATACCGCAAACATAAGGTGCAAAAATTTGTACACCATATCCGGATTTCGACAATAAATGTCTCTTCAGTGATGTTAGGAATCGAAACGGTATTTGGGAGGCCATATAATTTACTTCAATTTGGGATTGACTCTTGAATTTTGAAGAGTCAAAATAGGATGAACGGATCATATAAACCCGAAGGCAAATATAATACAAGCCCAAACAAAAAAATATAAACAAGTCTAAATTGAAAACAACGTTCAAACCTATGATTGCGTTGGATAAAAACCGCAATTTTTATACGTGTGCATGCAAAACAAATTTCTTGGTAGAGTGGTCTAAATACAGCACAAACAACATTTTCCAAAAGACCAAAAAAGTGAAAAAGTATAATTTAACAAAAAGCATTTGACTAGCAGGTCGAACAACGGATGTTCTTAAACCCTGCTGACTGCCATGGCGATTGCCAAATAAACAGATCACCAGATGTAAAAATGGATCTTAATTTATTAATAATATACCAAACAGAAAACAATAAACTTGCGGAAAAGATGGTATACCGCAAACATAAGGTGCAAAAATTTGTACACCATATCCGGATTTCGACAATAAATGTCTCTTCAGTGATGTTAGGAATCGAAACGGTATTTGGGAGGCCATATAATTTACCTCAATTTGGGATTGACTCTTGAATTTTGAAGAGTCAAAATAGGATGAACGGATCATATAAACCCGAAGGCAAATATAATACAAGCCCAAACAAAAAAATATAAACAAGTCTAAATTGAAAACAACGTTCAAACCTATGATTGCGTTGGATAAAAACCGCAATTTTTATACGTGTGCATGCAAAACAAATTTCTTGGTAGAGTGGTCTAAATACAGCACAAACAACATTTTCCAAAAGACCAAAAAAGTGAAAAAGTATAATTTAACAAAAAGCATTTGACTAGCAGGTCGAACAACGGATGTTCTTAAACCCTGCTGACTGCCATGGCGATTGCCAAATAAACAGATCACCAGATGTAAAAATGGATCTTAATTTATTAATAATATACCAAACAGAAAACAATAAACTTGCGGAAAAGATGGTATACCGCAAACATAAGGTGCAAAAATTTGTACACCATATCCGGATTTCGACAATAAATGTCTCTTCAGTGATGTTAGGAATCGAAACGGTATTTGGGAGGCCATATAATTTACCTCAATTTGGGATTGACTCTTGAATTTTGAAGAGTCAAAATAGGATGAACGGATCATATAAACCCGAAGGCAAATATAATACAAGCCCAAACAAAAAAATATAAACAAGTCTAAATTGAAAACAACGTTCAAACCTATGATTGCGTTGGATAAAAACCGCAATTTTTATACGTGTGCATGCAAAACAAATTTCTTGGTAGAGTGGTCTAAATACAGCACAAACAACATTTTCCAAAAGACCAAAAAAGTGAAAAAGTATAATTTAACAAAAAGCATTTGACTAGCAGGTCGAACAACGGATGTTCTTAAACCCTGCTGACTGCCATGGCGATTGCCAAATAAACAGATCACCAGATGTAAAAATGGATCTTAATTTATTAATAATATACCAAACAGAAAACAATAAACTTGCGGAAAAGATGGTATACCGCAAACATAAGGTGCAAAAATTTGTACACCATATCCGGATTTCGACAATAAATGTCTCTTCAGTGATGTTAGGAATCGAAACGGTATTTGGGAGGCCATATAATTTACCTCAATTTGGGATTGACTCTTGAATTTTGAAGAGTCAAAATAGGATGAACGGATCATATAAACCCGAAGGCAAATATAATACAAGCCCAAACAAAAAAATATAAACAAGTCTAAATTGAAAACAACGTTCAAACCTATGATTGCGTTGGATAAAAACCGCAATTTTTATACGTGTGCATGCAAAACAAATTTCTTGGTAGAGTGGTCTAAATAAAGCACAAACAACATTTTCCAAAAGACCAAAAAAGTGAAAAAGTATAATTTAACAAAAAGCATTTGACTAGCAGGTCGAACAACGGATGTTCTTAAACCCTGCTGACTGCCATGGCGATTGCCAAATAAACAGATCACCAGATGTAAAAATGGATCTTAATTTATTAATAATATACCAAACAGAAAACAATAAACTTGCGGAAAAGATGGTATACCGCAAACATAAGGTGCAAAAATTTGTACACCATATCCGGATTTCGACAATAAATGTCTCTTCAGTGATGTTAGGAATCGAAACGGTATTTGGGAGGCCATATAATTTACCTCAATTTGGGATTGACTCTTGAATTTTGAAGAGTCAAAATAGGATGAACGGATCATATAAACCCGAAGGCAAATATAATACAAGCCCAAACAAAAAAATATAAACAAGTCTAAATTGAAAACAACGTTCAAACCTATGATTGCGTTGGATAAAAACCGCAATTTTTATACGTGTGCATGCAAAACAAATTTCTTGGTAGAGTGGTCTAAATACAGCACAAACAACATTTTCCAAAAGACCAAAAAAGTGAAAAAGTATAATTTAACAAAAAGCATTTGACTAGCAGATCGAACAACGGATGTTCTTAAACCCTGCTGACTGCCATGGCGATTGCCAAATAAACAGATCACCAGATGTAAAAATGGATCTTAATTTATTAATAATATACCAAACAGAAAACAATAAACTTGCGGAAAAGATGGTATACCGCAAACATAAGGTGCAAAAATTTGTACACCATATCCGGATTTCGACAATAAATGTCTCTTCAGTGATGTTAGGAATCGAAACGGTATTTGGGAGGCCATATAATTTACCTCAATTTGGGATTGACTCTTGAATTTTGAAGAGTCAAAATAGGATGAACGGATCATATAAACCCGAAGGCAAATATAATACAAGCCCAAACAAAAAAATATAAACAAGTCTAAATTGAAAACAACGTTCAAACCTATGATTGCGTTGGATAAAAACCGCAATTTTTATACGTGTGCATGCAAAACAAATTTCTTGGTAGAGTGGTCTAAATACAGCACAAACAACATTTTCCAAAAGACCAAAAAAGTGAAAAAGTATAATTTAACAAAAAGCATTTGACTAGCAGGTCGAACAACGGATGTTCTTAAACCCTGCTGACTGCCATGGCGATTGCCAAATAAACAGATCACCAGATGTAAAAATGGATCTTAATTTATTAATAATATACCAAACAGAAAACAATAAACTTGCGGAAAAGATGGTATACCGCAAACATAAGGTGCAAAAATTTGTACACCATATCCGGATTTCGACAATAAATGTCTCTTCAGTGATGTTAGGAATCGAAACGGTATTTGGGAGGCCATATAATTTACCTCAATTTGGGATTGACTCTTGAATTTTGAAGAGTCAAAATAGGATGAACGGATCATATAAACCCGAAGGCAAATATAATACAAGCCCAAACAAAAAAATATAAACAAGTCTAAATTGAAAACAACGTTCAAACCTATGATTGCGTTGGATAAAAACCGCAATTTTTATACGTGTGCATGCAAAACAAATTTCTTGGTAGAGTGGTCTAAATACAGCACAAACAACATTTTCCAAAAGACCAAAAAAGTGAAAAAGTATAATTTAACAAAAAGCATTTGACTAGCAGGTCGAACAACGGATGTTCTTAAACCCTGCTGACTGCCATGGCGATTGCCAAATAAACAGATCACCAGATGTAAAAATGGATCTTAATTTATTAATAATATACCAAACAGAAAACAATAAACTTGCGGAAAAGATGGTATACCGCAAACATAAGGTGCAAAAATTTGTACACCATATCCGGATTTCGACAATAAATGTCTCTTCAGTGATGTTAGGAATCGAAACGGTATTTGGGAGGCCATATAATTTACCTCAATTTGGGATTGACTCTTGAATTTTGAAGAGTCAAAATAGGATGAACGGATCATATAAACCCGAAGGCAAATATAATACAAGCCCAAACAAAAAAATATAAACAAGTCTAAATTGAAAACAACGTTCAAACCTATGATTGCGTTGGATAAAAACCGCAATTTTTATACGTGTGCATGCAAAACAAATTTCTTGGTAGAGTGGTCTAAATACAGCACAAACAACATTTTCCAAAAGACCAAAAAAGTGAAAAAGTATAATTTAACAAAAAGCATTTGACTAGCAGGTCGAACAACGGATGTTCTTAAACCCTGCTGACTGCCATGGCGATTGCCAAATAAACAGATCACCAGATGTAAAAATGGATCTTAATTTATTAATAATATACCAAACAGAAAACAATAAACTTGCGGAAAAGATGGTATACCGCAAACATAAGGTGCAAAAATTTGTACACCATATCCGGATTTCGACAATAAATGTCTCTTCAGTGATGTTAGGA